CCATTAATTATTACAGTGGCCCATTCTGTCGGATAATATGATCACATGAGCAATATGTGGATGTGTGATTGTATGAGGAAGTAGTGACAAGAAATAAATAAAAGTACAGTGGTGCCTCGCTTAACGATTTTAATTGGTGCCAAAAAATTCATCGCTATGGGAAAACATCGCTAAGCGAAACGCGTTTTCCCATAGAGATGAATTGAAAACTGGATAATCCGTTCCAATGGGAACGGATTGCCGGCCTTAAGCAAAAATCGCCATAGGAAACATCGCTAAGTGAAACGCGGTTCCCCCATTGGAATGCATTGAAACCTTTTCAATGCATTTCAATGGGGGAGAAAAAAATCACCAAAAATTCAAAGAGAGTCCGAATGAAGCCAAATTTGGTTAACAAAGGGTTTACTAAGTGCACTAACGATTTCAAGCACTCTAACCCCTTTTTAAACAATTTAACACCTTTTAAAAATAGTGAAAACGGAGCTGTCAAAAACATCGCTAAGCGAAACAGGGGGACCTAAACTGTCATTGCTAAGTGAAGCAAGGTCCCGAACATCGCTATGCGAAATTCCCCCATTGGAAACATCACTAAATGGAGCGCAAGATCGCTCCTAAAACCTCATCGCTAAGCGAATACATCGTTAAACGAGGCAATCGCTAAGCGAGGCAGCACTGTATTGTATGATTGCTAGGGAGACTGATAATGTCCCCTGACCTGAGAAAATGGTGCTGAGCTTTAAAGACTTCCAGACAGAAGAACCTCTCCAGTCACAATGTTCCAGGTGATAGCTCAAGTATGGACAGTTTATGGAGTTTTCTGCTCAGGTGGTTGAGGTTCAGCTGGTCCATATGATGCTGCCTGACACTCTGTCAACAAAGTTGTTTACTCACACCTTATGCCAGGGCTATCTTGTAGAAGACCACAAAACACTTCCACTGAAAAATCAGCTACAAAGAACCAAACGGGAATGAGGGTCCCTTTGCCCTCCAGTTGTTGCAACTCACAACTCATTGAGAATACTGGAAAATGTTGAAGGCATAGGAAAAGAGGAAGATTGAAGATGAGATAGATTGATTTAATAAAGGAAGCCGCAGCCTTGAATTTATGACACAGGAGTGTGGCTGTTCATGTCAGGACCATTTGGAGGTCACCAAAACATCAGATCACCAGAAGTATCTTGACAGCATGTAAAAAACCAACTCTGCATAAGAGTTTCAGATTACCAAAACTAAAACCTTTAGTGGACAGAGGGTTTTGTGCTTTTGTTTCTTATTTGGAATTTTCCAACACTATATCCTGGGAGATTTCCTCTAAGGTGTTCAGAAGCAGGGGAGCATATAGCAAAAGTAGCTGCTTAATTCACTGGTGGCAAAATCCATGGATAATCCAGTCAAATTCAAGAGAGCCTAAACAAATTCCTGGATGAGAGGACATGCACACCCTGCCTGGACTGGGCACGAACAGCAGGAAACTTATTCCTCACTTAAACCAAATGAGAGAAATTCAGTTGTTTCTTAAGGTATTTGCAAGTGTTCAAAACTTTCCTTCAGACTGATTCGTCCAACCATAAACTTGAAAAGTCTCTTGATTAAGAACACTCACCCAAGAGGTGTGCCAGCAGTTCTAAGCGATCGGAACCAAAGAGAAGCTGGGGCTTGTCGTCAACATAGATCACCGAACATGGCAACCCAAATGCCTGAAGGGGAAGAGATAAGAAAGGGAAATGGGCTTCTGGTGTCCAGTTCGATGTAGCAGACAGGAATGTGCAGAATTCAAAGGTGCAAACTGGCTCCCAGCTGTGGTGGCTGCACATTTAACGTGCACAGATCTATTCTAAAAAGCCACAATGTAGGTTTTTGGAAAGTTAAATTTGGTACCTAGTCCCTGAAAAATAATGGGAAGGAAAACAAATCTCTTGCACTTTCATAGCATCTCTGTTAGGATGCTTGAAAGCATCCTCTGATGATGCCCGAAGGTCTTGTTTGCCTATGCTGAGGGAAAGACCAAACACAGCCCAGATTGGCAGCAAATACTCTTGGCTCACGCCCACACATCCAAAAGCCACCGAGTGCCAAATTATCACATGGTGCCACAGCGACGCACACACATGTATGTGAGAACAAGCTCTACGATACGAAAGGAAACAAAAGAACAGATTGGCTAGCCCTTTGCCAACTCATTTCCCAAGGATATCTTTTCCTCATCTTGAAATAAGTCTCATGCTGGCAGTGAAGAAACTTGCCGTAATGGATCAAGGGCAGTGCAAGTAAAGCACAAATGAGAAGGCTCAGCTTGCCAGGGATGACAGCCTGGTACAGGGCCCCAGGGCGACCTCACGGGTCAATCTGGTGGCTCACCAGAGCATTTGCACTTCCTGACTGTTGTACCTCTTAATTCCCCACCCTGCCCTTTTGGCAAAGAGCCCCCTTCACTCTCTCCTTGCTGGCTCACCCCATATTTTAATACTTCTTCTGTTGCTGCTTTCAAGCGATCCTTTACATCAGGTGAGGTACTCATTTCCAGAAGCTTTTGGGCTTGACCTTCAGGTAAGCCCGCTTTCACTGCAGCCTGAGGAGGAACAAACAGACAGTAAACACAATGACAATTATTTACTCTTTTTACATGGAACAGCTTTGCTCTGAGTCAGAAAACTGCTCCACTAAGGCTCTCGACTCTAGGCCCTTTTTGCCGGCTGACAGGAGATGCTAGGAATGAACCTCGATTTTCT